GCAGAAAAGGGAGTCTTGTTTCTGAGGCATCCCAAAGCTCAGGAAATGGTTCAAACTCAGTACATAAAAATCTACATTTTATGAGGCAGTGCCTTGGAAGATAATGTGGTGAAGTGATTGATTCTGACGGAAACCAAGAGCAGCTAAAAATGGACATATCCTCTCAATTAAAATGTCTCCTGCCGTGGCTGCCTCTAGTTAGTGAACCCAAAGATTATAACTAAGGTGGCCAGAAGAAAAAGGAGCCTTGCTCATGTAATACTTGTGTGCAAAATGGGGTTGTAGCAGGTGTGGTTGAGGTTAAACACTGTCAAGACCCTTTCCCTCCAAAAAGTCCTGTCATTAAGAGCCCTGTTTAGGTCTTGCAAACTCAAGGCTTGGCTTCCATCATTGACAAGGTGTAGCTTGCAAGAGATTTCTTCTTCTATGCAGTTATTGAAGGTTCAGAAACCTCAGTCCTTTGGCAGTTGCCTGCTCCGCATAATTATTGTATCAACGGGTTTCATCTTACGGCTTGCATTTGGTTTTATGCTAGCCAGATTGGAAGGCCTGCCGGCAGAACAATATGGCAAACACAGCTAAAATAAATAAGGCTGGTGCTTGACAAAGCTCTTGAAGAGAGTGCCAGAAATAAGGTTGCAACAGCTGAAAGGGGGTTTACAGCATTAGGAGATTCAAACCATGTAAATCCCCTTTCTGTCTGGCTCCACTAGCCATCAAACTGTTCTGTTCAAGTTCGATGCCCTGGCTATTTCGCTTATATAGTAGTGCCTTGACTTAGAAACTTAATTGGTTATGGAACTCCGGTTGTAACTCAAAATGGTCGTAAGTCAAAGAACAATTTCCCATAGGAATGCACTGAAATGCAATTAATCCATTCTGGCTGAAGAAAAAAACTCACAAAAAAACCCCAAAACCACTGCAAGACCCTTCGGAAATGTGATTAAAACGTTCCAGCCGAAGGGGGGGGGGGAAGCAACAAACTGTGCAACACCCTTTGGAAATGCAAAAAAAAGCAAAGCAGAAAGCAAACAAACCCTGCAAAATCCTTTGGAAATGCAAAAATTTTTTAAAAAAGCAAAGCGAAAAGCAAACGAACCCAGCAAGATCCATTGGAAATGGGGAAAAAAAACCCAAAAAACAAAAAGTGCACGACCCATCAGAAATGGGGGGAAAACACTCAAAAAGCAAACAACCCCCCAAGACCCATTGGAAATGGAGGAAAAAAACACTAAAAAACGAACAAACCCTGCAAGACCCATCACAGCATAGAAACATAATCCCACCACCCAGCCCGAAGCCATGCTGCCAAAACCCACCCAGAACACTTTTTAAAAAGTAGAAAGCAACACCTTACCTTACCAATCAGTCCGAAGCCTCCTCCGATTGCACTCTCTCATACTGCTGGGGCGAAAGAGCTACAAAGAATCTGCCTCTTCAGCGCCAACAGTTAGCAATTTGAATTCCCCGCCTTTTTTCCCTGCCTTTTTCTGGTTGTAACTCGAAGCTCTGGTCACAAGTAGAAGCAAAATTTTGCGGCCAGAGCTGGTCGTAACTTGAAATGGTCATACGTCACCTCGTTCATAAGTCGAGGCGCCATTGTACTCTGGGTCCCTCTAGATTCCTTTCTTCCTCGCTCAGCCTCTCCTAGAATACCAGGCCGTGGCTGTCAAATATAAAAGCAGGAGTCCTCTCCAAGCACTCTGTGAAGAGAGAATACCAGAGCCTAGAACATTTAATTTTTAAACTACAACTCCCAGAATCCCGCAGCCAGCTAACTTTTTAGAACCTTGGATGATACACGAATGCATATTTTACATGCACTTTTAGAAATGTTTGATTCAGGGAAATCAGGAAGGTGAATATAACAAAATGCATCTGCAGCTCCTTTCAACTACTGCACAGTCAAAGTCCAACTGATATATGATTAAGCCAAAAGACACACACACAAAACACCACCCTAGCCAAGCTCAAATTATGAGCCATATCTATTTCATTCAAAATCACTTTATCACATTGGAATAGAGTTTCTTTTCTTCTCAAAATGAATCAAGTGTTTTATAAGGTGACATAAGGTGATAATCTAAAAATACAAAGGGTATGGGAATAAGTTTAGCGCCAGGTTATTTGAGTCAGAACAGAATGATTGTTGAAAATATACTGCACTCTTGAGATTTTATGCTTTCTTGAAGAAATGTGGTTTTAGCAATGGAGTGAAATATATTGTGTTTGCCTTCCGATTTGCAGTAAATTCATGTGTTGCTTAAAAGAGATTTGAGAAGGAAGGGGTTTTTTTTTATCCCAAGCTCACACTTTTCTATAGGAATAGAAAATTGCACTAAGATGAAGCAGACCTTGACTTTGGAACATCTACCAGTGTCATTGGGTTCATTAAGAGATGGGAGCAATTCCTCCTCTTGGGCGGGAAATAACCATGGAGACTTGTTTGAATGATTAACAGAGACTCAACGATAATTTCAACGGGGTCAAAACAACTCAGGTTAGGTAACTGTTCATAGGGGGAAGGTAAGAATCCAAACGGTGACTTGGGAGAGTCTATTGAGGGGCTGGTCCAATTTGCTTGTTGTCCATGGGCTTCCTCAGTGGAGCGCTCCTCACCGCACATATCGTGCCGCAACAAGGATGCCGGGCCCAATCTCCCTCGCACGGTGGCTGATTGAACATCGAATCGGGTCTGATCACCCTCCTCCAGTGACCTTGCCCTCGTGGGAAGACCACTACGGTCCATTCTTAGGTCTTGGTTATTGTCACCTCCTTTTCTTTCTGATCCGGGTCAGGCAATAATCCCCCCACTTTTAAGTTAGGGAAGTCTTTTAATAACTCACACGCTTTTCCATATCTGGATTAATCCTCCTTTTTTATATCTCCCCATGGTACTCTGAAAACTCTCCTCCTGATCTTTTATATCCTCCTTCCACACTGGTAAGGTTAACTCCTCCTCTTCCTTTCCCTTTCTTTCCTCTACCAGACAGATTTCCACCTTGATTCTTTCTCCTTCAATTCCTTCCCATTATTTCCCTCTACAACCAATCCTTCTTTTTCTTTTCTCTCTCCCTCGTTCCTTCCCATGATTTCCCTCTACAACCAATCCTTTTTCTTTTCTCTCTCCCTCTTTCTGCAACACTTTTATTTGGGTGGACGGCTCACTCTCCTTTCTCTCTCTCTTTCCTATTTCTCCTTCACAATCATATACAGGTCTTTATATTTCAAAGAAATGTAACAAGTTTAACAGACTATGAATTTTCCAATTGCAGATCGAAGAGGAGGCTAGAGTGGAGGATACCTTTATCAGATCACTAAAACAATCACAAAAAAAGCTAGCTTTCCACCTGCAAGAGTCTTCATTTGGCTGGGCGCCACAGAGCTTGGGAGGTGGTAGGAAGAACCATAAAAGTCCCCAAAGTCTAGAATAGCAGCTGCATACTCAGATTAGAAGTGTAGGTTTCAGCTTCTACATCCGATGGTGTGGATTAGAGTATGTCTCCCATTCTTGTTAGGCAAAAATTGCCAGTCATTCTGATTCACAGACAGACATGGCCCTGTATCAAAACTACATGGTATTTTGGCTGGGAGTACAGTAGAGGCACACAGAAACATGGCAGACCACATATCAGAGAAGTTGGTATAAAATTTAGCTCCCACACTAGATAAATCATTTACAACCAAACTAAAAATGTTAGCTAATGGTTGAAAGAAGATGTCCTCAGTTCACCGTCTTGCCTGGGTGATGTTACCTGTTTTTGCTTGGCTGCAGATGGTGCTCTGGTTGGCTGTTCAGGTATCTTCCGTAGGGGATGTTGAGGACTGGCAGTCCTTTGTCTGATGTAATACAGTAGGGATTGTCTTGCCTCCCTCTTGTGTACAAGGACCACTGAGTCCTCCCTGTTTTATTTGATTGAAAGAGATTCATTTTTCCTTCCTATGATGTAGGATCAGCCCTACCATGTGATAGAATAAGGTAGTCACTTGACAGCAGCAGATTTTAAGAAACAGCAGGAAGTGTTTGGAGAAGAGTATCAAGCACCACGTTGTCTGATGTAATAGGGATTGTCTTGCCTCCCTCTTGTGTACAAGGACCACTGAGTCCTCCCTGTTTTATTTGATTGAAAGAGATTCATTTTTCCTTCCTATGATGTAGGATCAGCCCTACCATGTGATAGAATAAGGTAGTCACTTGACAGCAGCAGATTTTAAGAAACAGCAGGAAGTGTTTGGAGAAGAGTATCAAGCACCACGTAACATGCTTTGCTCCCCCTGAGGTAGCCTTCTGTGTCCAAATACTGTATGGTAGAGGTCATTCCCTTAAGAAAGATTCCCCTGCCACTCTAATTGGCTTTTGTACAGGAAATAGCGGAGGTGCCATCTTGTTCTTTCCCTCCGCAACAAAATGTTTCAGGGTGGCCCTAAGCACATTATGCTGTCTGACAAAGGTTATCGTTTGCGTAAAAAGGACCTTGCCGGGCAGCTCCTCCCTTCACACATAGTGGACTGGCGGGTCTCAGTTTCTGCCACGCATAACAAGCCACAGCAAAGTCCTGCCCAGTTGCTTCTTGTGAGGCTTTTTGCCACCACCTGTTGCCACCTTCTCCTTTCTTCTATTTCTGCTTGGGCCTTTGTTGCTGCTGCTCCCTATCGTGACTGCAATCTAAAATAACTGTGACAGAAAACATTTTGTGATCCCCTTGGTGGTCCCAACCCCTAGGTTGGGAACCCATGCATTAAAGGATCCCTGTACACACTTTACTATTTAAGCCAGCTTTCTTCTTCTTTGCAAAGTTACCTGTTTGTCTCTTTTGTCTGTTTGCATTTAATGGGCTCTTCTGCTTTTTTTTTCCAGAGCAAAAATCCTACCATCTCTGTTATTTCTCCAAGCGGGAAGGCCCAAACATATAATTCAGTTTCAGCAGTGGTGTTACTATGAACTGCTCCTTCAAAGACAATATATTGCTTCTCTCTTCTTTTCCCCCTCCCCACCCTAGTACAAGGAAAACAACCACACTTCATTAGAAAATTTGGACATGCTGCTCTGCAAGAAGGGGATGATTTAAGTCTACACTGTACAATAAATGGAAGACCAAGGCCAAACGTCACTTGGACAAAAGATGGCATGACAGTGGCAGCAAAAGAAATTAGTGTATGTCTAAATGTTTTGTAAATGTTCCCTGGGGAAGAACATCATATGTCTTGCTTTACATTACTAATCTCCCTCTGTCTGTATTTCATTGCTTTACAGATGGAGAAGTTAGGGGATACCTATTACCTTTTTAAAAGAAATGCAGCCCTTGCTGACACTGGAAAATATATGTGCCTCGCCACTAATGAACTCGGGGAGGCAGACTGCTCAGCTTTCATAAGAGTAATAGGTAACTAGGAGCACATTATTAGACCACATTCATGTAATAAATGAAGACCTTGCTCCCACTATGGCTGACGTCCCCATTTTGTTTCAGAGAAGAATAAAAATGTACATGTTCACCGTGCAACTGAGACTAAGTCAAAGCAAGAGAGGGACTCTTTGTCACAAAAAATGAAGGCTGCCACACCTGAAGCAACCCAAGGTCAGAATTCGCATGGCTTGAGAAGTCAAAGGCAACCTAAAAAGCCTTCTGTGAGGTAACTTAAATTTATGTTTTATACAACAGCCATGCCACGGTTGCTTTTAGAAAACTGTTATGCCACCCTCCCACTGTTAAGTTTCATTTCCCCTTTCATAACCAAAGCAAGTAGCAAACAGAAATTCAACCAGGAGCCAAAAGATCAGGTGCACTATAGAAGACTCTGGTTGCACCTGAAAGCAGAGGGGCTTTCTCAAGTATTTTGCAACATGGTGTGAAGGACCATAACTGGACATGGAAGTTGGCTCTCTTCATGCAGGTGTAGACTTCACCTATGAGCCTCTGCCCCTTTGTGCCTTGGGTTTTATTTCTTAATGCTGTTTTTGCTAAGGTCAACTGAAGAATTAGGAGGCCTCAGAAAGGGTGGGTATTATTGCCGTTGGCAGAACAGCACAGGGCTGAGTGTTGAGTTGGTGCTGTTTGCTTAATAGGATTCTTGAAGAACAAAAACATGAATTTTTAAGCACTGTCAAGAAAAACCTCTGTTCCTCCAGCGGTGTTGGTAATTTTTGTTAAAGACTCCCTCCATCTTGCCCTGGGGAAGCCTTTGAGAGCCTCAGCACAGGTTGGAGAAAAGAGTCATACGGAGCCTTAGAAGCTGAAAGGGAAGGGGTGGGTGGGTAGGAGGCATTCAACGAATTTAAATTAAATATTCCTATCACTGAAAGATGATGTCATCTGGCTTGTGCACTGTAAAGTTACGCAAGATAATTTGGCCGAATAACTTAAGTTTAAACTTCGGGGTTTTTTAAAGGTTTCTGCTATAATAGGAAATATATGGTCGTATTTGATGATGTCATCTGGCTTGTGCAGTGTAAAGTTACGCAAGACAATTTGGCCGAATAACTTGTTTAAACTTCGTTTTTTTAAAAAAGTTTTGCTATAATAGGAAATATATGGTCGTATTTATCCTGAAAGGCAAAATATCTTTAATTAAAAACTGGCAAGAAAATGTATTTCAATGTTAAAAAAATCAGATTCATCACAGACAGCAAGTATACCTGGGAGCATCTTTCAGACTTGATTTTCACAAAACACTTTTATAAAGTAATCTGGATCATGTTTATCTATGCTTTTTCTTTCTCAAATTTGCCTACAGCCAAGACCTGTGGATGTTTACTTGGAAAAAAATCTTACGATAGAGATTCATGTATTTCCTTATTATCATGTAAAAACATATTATGCATTTTATTGGGTTTGGAAAAAAATACAAAATAGCAGAAGCTACAATTGCTATAAATTTGGAGAATGTATTTTTAATGAAATCCAGGCCTCTTGTTATAGTGTGTGGTTTATAGTTTACAACAAACTCCCAGCATTTGTTATTAAAGGGAGCCTTGTTAAAATCTAATAGGAAGATCCTATGAATTGGTTTTAGTTGTATTTGGATTAGAACAACTAAAATAATAGAATCTGAAAATAGGGGATCTCTGAGCAGAGCAGAAAAATATAACTGTGTCTTCTTAAAAGTCTGTGGTATGTTTTATTTTCTATTATTGACCTATAGTACTTCTCATCCCTTGTTTTCAAATTCTTCTGAGGAGGCAAAGATTGGTTTTTTATATAAATCGCAGTTATGAGCAGGGTGAACATCGGTGTAACTCAGCAGCGGTAATTCCATATGGGGCTCAAGTAAGATGTCGCTCTGCTCCAATGAAGGTTGATGAACAGTTCTCACATGGGTTTGCAGAGGTTCTACCCAACCATGTGAGGCTAAGGCCTACTTCTCAAAAAACATTAGCGGATGGGGGAGGGCGCTCTATGTTTTCACTGTACTTCTTCAGGTTACAATTCAGTCTCACATGACAGAACGCTCTGGAAAACACACACACCCTGTTGAACTTTAGCATGTCAAAGGAATGTCTGTATTAAAAATGCCAGCAAAAGCATCCAAACCTGAGTGCAGAATAAAACTTTTTAGTGGCTCTTGAAGGCCCACTTCAGAAAGAGAGAGGAATTCTTCTCCAGCTTACGTTAAAAAAAAACCCACCTGAACAGGACAAAAATCCACAGCTTCAGTGTTCTCTGCTGCACAAGATTTCTCTAAATTTGTGGCTTGGTTTGGGAAGTGTTTTCCAGGTTTCTTGAGTTTCCAGCACCATGGGAACCTTGAACAAATTTTCTGAGAGTTTTCTGGTCTGTAGGAGATGCTAGAGTCTTTTTGATGAAGTATAGCTTTCTTCTTGCAGGGGAGGAACTGAGGAAGAGAAAGAAGAGCATTCTGTCAAGTGAAACTTTACGTGCAGTCTGGTAGTGTCCGACACAGGTTTACTACTTCATCTCCTGGTTGTGGCAACCGGTACCAGTTCCAAATTTTTGGGGGGCCCTTAAGTAGTATCTTCCCATTAAAGTCCTTGCCTCCTCATTATAGCCATTGCTGATTTGCTTCCCTTTTCCACTGGGCCACTTCCTAGAGAGAGAAAAGGCCAAAGCACACATTCATAAAACTGTCTCTTTCGTGCTCTTACAATGTTTCCTCCTCAGCAACATGATCTGTTTTGTGATTCTGATATTAGTCATGGAAAAGAAATAGTTTTCTACATTCCGAAGATAATCCCAGTGACATGTTGCATGTGTTTTCCCAATTATACCTTTTTAACAACTTTGGAGAGTACTCTTTCTAGAAACAGATTTCTTTCGGTGTGTCTTTTGTCACAGAAATGAAATTAGAGAACATGAACAGGACAAGTTGGTTTTATTTAGTTGTACTTGCTTCTTCCATGTTTCATGCAGAGAGGGCAAGTGAGCAGCAAGCAGCAGCAAGGAAGAGAACCAGCAGGGCTAGAAGGTTGTAGAGACTGGGAATGGTCAGACTTGACACATGCTTAATAGGGCTGACCCCTGATGCTAGCTTTTGTGAGAACTAGGCTTTTCTCATAGCACTTGGGAGAGGATGCCTTGAATGCACCATGAACAGGAAGTGATAATCAGTGCTCGGTGTCTAAAAATATAGGTGTCAGGACTTAAACCTGCTGGTGAGCTATACCATCTGCTCTGGAAACCCTCCTCTTTAATCCAGGAATTTGGGGACTGGCTGAATCTGTCCAGCGGTGGCACTTTTAAATATGACTTCATGCATTCCAGAACTTCAGCTCTGCCTTTCAAAGCAGGTTCACTGGTTGGCTTCTGGCAAGTGTTGGAACCAAATTAAACCCTGATGATACTGGTAGTTGGTGATCTCCAGCTATCCTGTTCTATGAGAAAGCTAGGCTTCTTTCTTTTGATTACAGAAAACTATAACAGCGGCCTGTTAACCATGCCAAGGACATATCAAGATTGTTAGCAGAGGAGTTAGAAGATGCTGCCTGAGCATCAGACATGCTAGAAAAATACATTGCAAGATAATAGTTTTAAAGCTATGAGGATTTTAAGAGCTGACCTCTCAAATAGTTCTTTATTATCTTCCCAAAATTATTCAGAATGATCATGCTACATAGATGACATACACATCTTGAATGTATTGTTGTTTGATATTCATACAAATTTACCCTCAGTGACCTATAAGTCTTTAGAGTATAGTTAACTCACATGAATAATAGAATGAATATTCCAACATGCCGAAGCCCTCATTCTACCACAGTCCAGTTACGGATCACATTAGCATACCATTCTGTTCATCCTTTTAAAAAATAACTTATTGAAAGCAGCTTCAGATGTGGTTGAAATGCATTTCATTGGCTCTCACCATGGGCTGTGCTGACTATGGCTGATGGAAGTTGCTGTTCAGCACTATCTGGAGAGCCATAAATTGCTACCCCTAGGTTATGCTGCATTTTCTTGTTGGATGACCCTGGCTAAAAAGCAGCCCCAAGCCACCTAGACAGCTTCATAGGCGAAAAGAGATTTTAACCTCAGGGCTGGTCTAACTACATAGACAAGCAATCTAAATAGATTTTTGAGATGCAATTTCAAGGGACCATCTCCCTACGGTCCCCAACAGCAGGGCCAATAGCCAAGAATTCTGGGAAGTGAAGTCCAAACTATCCAAACTATCTGGAGGCCCTGAAGTCAGGAAAAACAGCTTTAGATGGTCGTGCTGAATCATACTGAGGCCATATATATGCATTTGCAACACCAAATGCTTTCCACTACTACACCACATTAGGTTGCCCATTGCTCCTTACACTGAACTTTCAATTTTAACACCACTCTGACTGAAATGCTCAGCATGTAAGCCCCTGTATACTGAAATTTCCCCTGTACTTCCTTCTTTAATATTACAGTCAACCCTCGACTTACAAACTTAATCCGTTCTGGAAGGAAGTTTGTAAGTCGAAAAGTTTGTAACTCGAATCAGCATTTCCCATAGGAATGCATTGAAAACCAATTAATCCATTCCGGGTGTTTTGGGTTCTTAGGTCGAGGGCGGTTTGTAACTCGAATCATTAGTTCCCATAGGAAGTAATGCAAAGCTGGTTAATCCGTTCCTACCACTAGGGGCAGAGTTTTATTTCTTTTTTCCCCCTTTTAACCTAAGATGACTTAGGTTTTTAAAAAGGAAAGAAGAGAGGGAAGGAAGGAGGGAACAGAACACCTTGAAAAGCACCCTTTCAGCCAAGACAAGCACCTTTTGGGAAAAACCAAGCACCTTTCATACAACAGAGCACCTTGAAAAGCACCTTTTCAATCAAGACAAACCAGGACAAGCACCTTTTGGGGGAAAAGGGGGCAGCAAAGTTAAAACCTGTTAGCAATAATAGCAAAAACATAAAATAGTCATTTAAACATACACATACACGTATTTAGAAGAGAACAATTAAAATAATGTCTTTTTACAAGACCTTACAAGAGAAACCTAGCCAGAGTCTCTGACTGCTGTGTTTATACCAGCCAACAAATATTCCATGTACTGTATCGTGTGAATGTCCTTCCAGGACATTACCTCAAAATAGGACAGAGAAGTCTGTACTGTTCCTCTCTGTGGAGGCTACATTCAAACTGGCCAAAGACTCAACCACTTCAACTCAATAGGCACGGAATCAATGTTCACATGGAATGCTACAAGAGTGCCCGTCTAGTAGTGCAGAAAGTAGACAGTTAAACCTAGCACTGCATAAAACATGGCAATATTTAGGAACAATGAGTTTATCCAGATACCTAGCATGTTTAGGAAACTCAAAATTTAAGTCAAAATATACTGGAGAACCAGATATAAGGACATTTGATGGAGAATACTAAAAATCTTAAATAAGTATTATAGGTCTGTTTTTGGAGAAATTCCATAGAAAGGTCTAGTGAATTTGGGAATTTACTACTAAGTTACACTTACTAGAATCTAGTAAGTGCAACTTAATAGTAAATGCCCAAATTCCCGTTCAGCTCTGGAAACTTAGTGGGGGTATAGGACTGGTAAAATGAGTCAACTATCTCACTTACCTTGAAAGCATGATTAGGGTCACTGTAAGTCAGTTCTGACTTAAAGGCACATAATAACAATACATAGGAACGGTCAATCCAGCATTATTACGTTAGGGGTTTTCTCGTTCTCCCTCCGCATTTCTACACCATTCTGACAAGGCATGAAACTCACGTGAAGATACCAAACCATGAAGAGTGTTTCTTTGTATTTTACTGCAGAAGACTCATTGTGAGTGCCTGCAGAACCAGATGTTCCAACCTCACAATGAAGTGACTCTTCCCTTATCATACTGTGGTGTAAACACTGGCCATATTTTCAGTTGTGAGGATTGTGAATACTGAAAGTTATCACCAGAAAATCATATCAGCTATACTTTCCCAACCATGGCTGTTTTTTTTTTTCAGGTGTTGAATGAACCTGATGGGATAATGGATTTGTTTATCTAATTTTGTCTTTGTAACCCCGGGAAGGGGAGATAGGCCTGTCTGTCAATAAAACAGTAGAATATAAGACATGGTGGCTCTTTTATCTTTTTCCTCCACAGTACAAAAGCATAAATACCAATCTGTTTGTGGGCCTGTTATATCTGAGCATGTAATGAGAAATAAACTTCAGGAATGTAACTCAATCACAAGTGAATAAATAAATATTTTGCTTGAAATGTTGCTGCAAAGTTGATGTTTCATCTCTTTATGCATTCTCGATGCAACAAAAAGGGAATGTGTATGAATAAACAACAGCTGGCAAATCAGAATTTATTTTTTTCCAAAAATCTTCTAGAAGCATAGTTTTAGAAACAGTAAATGCAAAAATTAAAGCTGAACTTCAAGACATACTGCATATTCACTCATGCCGTCAATAAAATCTATATTGCAGATGCTATTCAGTGTGCAAGATGGATGTTCAGTTTAAATCAATGTGAATGCAAAATACTAGACTATAGATTATTTTATTTGTCTCACACGTTGCCCACTCAATAGTTTTCTTTCCAAAATTTAACATCTTTTTCATTTCTCCTTTCTTTTAGTCATTAGAAATTCAAGGCTAGTTAGAACTGATCAATTAGAAGTTAAGTGTTCTAACAGAACACCAGAGCAATGGAAAAGTGAGTCATTTTTCTACCTTATGATAAGGCTTTTCAGTGGAACATTTAAAACTTTCACACTTTCAGATAGTCTAGGCTGGAGTTTTCCAAAGAAGTAGACATTTTAGTCTATCTTGTCAGGTTGGCAAAGCTGGTGGTGGTGGGGCTATAATACTGTGGCACTGTGAAAACTAAGAGATTTATTTCAGTCTGAGCTTTCAGAGATCAAAGCCAGCTTTTCAGACACCTGGTATTGTTTCTTAGACTCTACAAAAGATAACAAATGCAGGTTTTTCAGGATAGTATATCGAGTGATTTGAAGTTTGCCAATGAACCTACTGTCACATAGTCTACCATTTCTAAAATGGATAGTAATTTGAAGGTAAGGAAAAACATGGTTTTTTGTGAAGTAAAGACACCTGATCCTGAACGCACCCTCCCATTCTTGGGCCTAGAGTAGTAAAGACAATTTTTGCTCCAGTAGGCGATCTGAATGAGCACTCCTTGCTCCTCCTCTACTGATGTTTGTGAGAGCAGAGGCCCCTCGGGGGCTTTCTCTATATGGTTGTAATTGTAGGGCATGAGAAGGTTGGGCTGTATCCCCTTGCAGCTATTGACATATCCTTCCCATGCCACCCTCCTGGTCCATGTTCTGGAAGGCATGTCTGTTTTTTAAAATTTAAGCCCTTTTATATGCCCAGAAGCCAGCCTGTGACTGGATATGCTCCCATGCATGTCCTATAGACTCTTCTTAGCCAATGTGCCAGCTGAGATCACCTCTCTCTTCTCCCTTGTGGAATGACACTCCTTTAGAAGAGAATGCCCTCCAAAGGGCTGCGGATACAGGGCAGAAGCCAACCCTGAGCACTGCTCTCAGAATATGTTTTATTTCCTTGCGTCATGTTGTTGCCAGCTGTTATCAGGACTCCACGATGCGGGGCTGGTCAGCAACTAATATTAGTAGCTAAGCTGTCTTCTTTTAAATGTCACACAGGTTGTAGGCCTAGCGCCACTGGCTCCAGCCACTTACCATTGACATGATTCAAATGCTGTTTTAAATGATATTTTAATAAATTGCTCAGGACCTCTAGATGTCCATACTAGACTATAACAGTTCCTTCTTGATTGAGGGCTGTTTCTGTGGATGGCTGCATTTTCCCCATTCCACCCATGTTAATAACCAGTCATTTGCCTCATAGGGCCCAGCCAAGTGACCTCTTGACTTCAACTTCCATTGGCACTCGCCAGCATAGGAAATGGTAAGGACCGCTGGGAGACGTAGCCCAAAACATCTGGAGCACCATTTTGAGATAGCTTTAAGCCCAGTGGTTTAGGCATCTGCCTGTGGGGTCAGAGGTTGGGAGTTTGATTCCCTGCTGTGACTCCTTAACAGGGGCTGGACCCAATGATCTATGGGTCCCTTCCAGCTCTGCAGTTCAACAAAAACAACAAAGTTAGCATCAAAAGAGGAGTATTCCAAGGGGATTCTTTGTCACCACTATTGTTTAACATCTCATTAATCCCCATATCAATGAGATTCTTTGTCACCACTACTGTTTAACATCTCATTAACCCCCATATCAATAATTTTAAATAAAACTGTAGCGGGCTACCATATTTCAGAATGAGCAGGAAAAATCAATCATCTGTTATACATGCATGATCTAAAATTATATGCAAAAAGATCCACAGAGATAGAATCACTGCTAAACAAAGTGTGGATATTAGCTAAATCTTAGCTATATTCAAATGAAATTTGGTATTGACAGATGTGCAGCTCTACTATCAAGTGATGAAAATTATAAATAACTTGGAATACTAAAAGCAGATCATGTCCTGCTCACAAAATTAAAGATCTGACAAAAAGGAAATACATCAAAAGATTGCAGAAAATCTGAGAATCAAAATTAAATGGTGGAAATACAATCAAAGCCATAAACACATGGGCAGTTCCAGTAATTAGATATCCAGCTGGAATTGTAGATGGGACCCAAAATGAATTAGAAGAATTGGATCGAAAAACATGGAAATCAATGAACATGCATCACACACTGCACCTAAAAAGTGATATGGAGAGATTATATTTACCACAAAAAATGGAGGCCATGGATTACTGCAAATACAGCAGGTAGTAAGGAGGAATAAAGAAGCCTAAATGATTATATTAGTCCAAGTAGAGAAAAATTAATTACAGAGGTGAAAATGGAGAATATTTTGAAAAAAAAAACAGAAACAAAGGTTCAATATAAGGAACAACAATTTGAAAATAAATTGAATAGCTGGAAAAATAAACTTCTACATGGACAACATCTGAGAAAAACTGATGAAAGGTATGATAATAATTCAACATGGTGCTAACAGCAATGTGGACGCTACCAAGAAAAAGATGAAACCGTGTCACACCTCATCTGCCAATATCCAAAAAGTGCATGATTAGGTTAGGTTAGGTTAGGCATCCTTCAGTCTCGAAAGACTATGGTAGCGTGCTCTGTATGGAGGGCTTGGAACAGCGCCTAGTGTGGCTGAGAAGGCCAATTCGAGAGTGACAATCCCTTCCACACTGAAGACAAATCCAGTCTGTCCCCTGTCCGGCTCCCTGGTTTTGCTGCTTTTGTGTCTTCCTCTTTGCCTCGGCCTGCTGGGCAAGGGTCTCTTCAAATTGGGAGAGGCCGTGATGCACCGCCTGCGTCCTGCTCACAAAAATTAAAAATCTGACAAAAAGGAAATATATCAAAAAATTCCAGAAAATCTTAGAATCAAAATTAAACAGTGGAAATACAATCAAAGCCATAAACACATGGGCAGTTCCAGTAATTAGATATCCAGCTGGAATTGTAGATGGGACCCAAAATGAATTAGAAGAAGCAGAAAAACATGGAAACTAATGAACATGCATCACACACTGCATCCAAAAAGTGATGTGGAGAGATTATATTTGCCATAAAAAATGGAGGCCATGGATTACTGCAAATACAGCAGGTAGTAAGGAGGAATAAAGAAGACTAAATGATTATATTAGTCCAAGTAGAGTAAGATTAATTACAGAGGTGAAAATGGAGAATATTTAAAAAAAAACAGAAACAAAGGTTCAATATAAGGAACAACAATTTGAAAATAAATTGAACAGCTGGAATAATAGACCACTACATGGACAACACCTGAGAAATATTGATGGAAAGTATGATAATGATTCAACATGGGAGCGGCTAAAACTGGGGACCCTTAAGCAAGAAATTGAAGTCTTAATTTTAGCTGCACAAGAACAAACACTCCAACCTCACAGGAACAAGCACTCCCTACTAATGTTTGAACTACTGTTCAAGGAATTAGTGCTAACAGCAATGTGGATGCTGCCAAGAAAAAGATGAAACTCTGTCACACCTCATCTGCCAATATCCAAAAATTGCATAAACAGATTACAGAATTAGACATGATAGAGTGCCAAAACTAGTGCACTGGTCATTGTGCAAAAACTATAACTTGCCAGCCTCCAAAAACCCATGACAACATCATGTAGAGAAAATGTCAGAAAATGATAAAGTCAAGATCTTGTGGGATTTCCAGATCCAAACTGATAGACACTTTGAACATAACACGCCAGATATAGTAATAACAGAATGAAGAAATGTCTGGATCATTGACATTGCAATTCCAGGGGATGCCAGAGTTGAAGATATAGAACTGGAAAAAATAGCAAAATACAGGGACCTGGCAATCGAAACATCTCACTTGTGAAAGAAACATCTCAGTGGTCCCCATCGTCATTGGGGCTTTGGACAATTGCAGATCTCAGAAATAACATAATCAGAGCTACAGAAAAGGGCAGTATTACAGCATACATACTGCACTGATATTTAACAGATACTTAGGGTTTTGATTAAAACCTGTATCTGAATCTGTTGTATAGTACCAGTCAATGTTTTTATAATTTTGATTGACTGTGTCTGGTATTTTTGAATAACAAAAATAACAATAATAATATTACTGTGCATTAGTGATGCCCCTCCTCCTTTTAACCCACAGTTCACATGCTGCTTTAATAGCCTGTCTTACTCCTTTTTGCCTAAATAAAATTTCCAATCATACTTTGCTACTCTTACATATTTATATCAGATGCAAGACAAGATGTTTTGGCATGTGCATTTTAATTTAGGCAAATGTGATTATTTTAGAAGAAAAGGCAAAGTGTATTTTTCCACCTTCATTGCCATCTGTTTTAATTTATCTTGTTGCTATGTATTTTTTTATTTTCTATCGTGTTTTTATATTGCTGTTTATATTGTTGTTAGCTGCCCGGAGTGGCCTTGTTGCTAGATGCTTTGGGGTGTAAATCCAATAAATAAATAAATAAATAAATGTAAATCCAATGAATAAATAAATAAAATTCAAGATCAAGCAGAAGACTTCATCAAACAGTGTCATTTGCAAGTCTTTGCAAGATTGTGAGGAATACACATTATTTCTTGCATTTAGCAATCTATTTAAAAAAGAAAACAAGACTGTATCAGTATATGTGAAATATATGCAGAGAAACCATACTCCAGAAAAAAAGTACCATAATGAA